GGGATCCAACTGCGGTGCACAGACTCTTGAGGCAGTTCGGAATATTCCATGTTATTCTGTTATTCCCAACCTTGAGCTCAGGCAGCTTGGGTCGCTCCCAGTTCGCACAAGTCCTTGTCTTGCAGGGCGAAATGTGAATTCCAGTAGTGAATCAAGGGACCTTGGGACACCTTGGCAGGTAAAACCAACAGTCCCCCTGGTTTGATCTACTCGCTCCTCTGTTCAAAAACAATCTCAGGGTGCAAGTCACAACCAAGGAGTTTGACCTACAGCTGGACAGAGGGCCTTTGGTTGGGGGACTTACGGGAAGATGCGTCACTCTGAACGTAGGTAGAAAGAGACAAACAACAATAGAAGAAAGAGGGCGACTTACAAAGCAACCAAAATACAAAGATCAATCGTAGTTTCATGGCAAACTCCTGCAAACCCCTGTACCTTGCATGGGCGTTATCTTTCCTGTTTGAATAAACGTCACATGCCCAAAAGCAACTTCAAAAATACCACTATGCCAGGATGTGTGCACTGCACGACCAGGGTGCTTTGAGTCTCTTTGTGTCTGTCTATCTCAAAATTTGCAGGGTTGATGAGATGCCTTTATCGTTCCCGGAAACAAGTACGTCATGCTGATGCTGCCAAGCTTTGCAACATGATGTTCTTCCTACAAGGTGCAATAGGCATGACAGGCGCTGTTGTCTGTTGGGTGACGCCTAAAATGTTGGAACCAAATCATTAGTGCGAGCGCTTCTTCAAGGAAGTGTGAGCTATCTGTCCCTGTCTGGAAGCGTCCTACTTACTAGCTACTATATATAGCTACCTCTTCTACCTCTTCTGCGGGATTATTCAAAAAAAAAACAAATGAACTCAGGCCATCCATTCAGGTGAATCCAGGGCACCGTTTCTGCTTCTCCTTTGCCTCAGCTGCTCCTCGGGAGGCCTTCGAGGGCTCTTCCAACTGAGGGACTGGGCCATGAAGCCTCGAGAGCGTCGAAAATCGATCTCAAATGGTTCTTGAAATGGTCAATACTACTAGTAGCGATGCACCTTGTTACTAGTCGCTTCTAGCTACTAGTAGTAATGCCCCGAGCTACTAGTAGCGTCCTTGCTACTAACTAGGTTCTTGCCAACATTGGTTTCAAATGGATTCACATGGTGTTTTTTTTCAAAGATCGGTGATTGGTAACTGATTTGGCCCATTGGTTGCTGGCCATTGGCCTTTAGCCGGGCGATCCGCAACAAGGTCTGTTGCAATCAAGAATTCAATTTCTCTCCTAAACTCACATTGCCGAAAGTCTGGAAAGACTACGAACTAAATCGCTCTGTCCCGTACCTGCACCATCCTTCTTGTAGCCACATGGCGGACTGACTATCCACAATAACAACCAAAACTGTCACACAACAACAGAACACCTGGAATACAGTATGGGTGGTCCATCGCAAAAGTCCCCAAAATAGATGTTTGTTCCCTTGAACCCGCGTGAACCTACTCCACTCTATTTGCCTGTTCGTGTTCCCTGCCTGATAAGAGGAACTCCGGGCACTGCTCGCAGTGTGGCCAGCAGCTCTGGGTCTTGAGTCGCCACCAAGAGCCTGGAGGTCAGAGCAACGTTGGTTTTGGAGTCGCTCTGTCGATAACCCAGACCTATGAAGTGGGTATCGTTTTTGGTATCGGTCTAACCTTGTTCTCATCGAAGAAACAGAAAGGCAGGAAGATGGGCAAAAAAAACGAAATGGAATGTCCAACTAGCATGGCAAACCATTTCTATATATATATTATATACAAAAAACGTTGGACATACGCGGTGGCGAGTGTCAACAGTGTCAATAGGCAAAGATAGATTCCAAGATTTGTACCGTCACAAGGCTAGGTATCGTTGTTGGGATTACTAGCGTTTGTTCAAAGAAAATGTTAATGTTATTTTTTGAAGAAACGTGAATGCCGACCTTTAGCATTTTGCTCAAATGTATCCAAATGTCTGTTCTCGTCCAAATACAAAACTGTCAAAAGCTCCTCTGGCACAGAATTTCATTGAATGTTGCCCTTTGCAAGCAGATTGAGGGTTAAACGCTACAACTACACCCTTGATCTTGCCCGAAGCCCTGCGAAGCCCTGCGAAGCCCTGCGAAGCCCTGCGAAGCC